TCCCACGCATCAGTTAGCGTAGTGGTGCTCAGCCTTCCTAACGCTGCGACCCTTTAATACAGTTCCTCATGTTGTGGTGACCCCCCCCAACCGTAAAATTTTTTTTTTTTTTTTTTTTTTTTTTGGTTTTTTTTCGAGACAGGGTTTCTCTGTGTAGCTTTGCGCCTTTCCTGGAACTCACTTGGTAGCCCAGGCTGGCCTCGAACTCACAGAGATCCGCCTGCCTCTGCCTCCCAAGTGCTGGGATTAAAGGCGTGCGCCACCACTGCCCGGCAACGTAAAATTATTTTTATTGCTACTTCATAATTGTCATTTTGCTACTGTGATGAATCGTAATGTAAAACACCTGATATTTCTGATGGTCTTAGGTGACCCCTGTGAAAGAGTCACCCTTCCAAAGGGGTCACGACCCAGAGGTCAAGAACCGCTGAGTTAGAGGGACACACACTGCCCCTCAGCCTTCCTGATCCTGGAAAACCCTGGATCATCCTATGTCATTTTTGCTTTGTCCCAGGTAGCATCTGCATAATTACTTCCTATTTCTCTTTCAAGCTGGCTGGCTTCACGTTACCTTCCCTAGGGAGAGAGCGATACATCCGCTCCTGCAATGAAAACCAAAGCAGCCTCCCTTTCCATAAAGAGAAGAAAACCCTAAAATAAGTCTGATAAGAACGGAACAATGCCACTGAATTCCAGCCAGATGCTGCAGCCTGCCAAGGGCTCGCAGCCTGGGCCGTGAGTTCCTGTTGTTCCCAACACAATAAAGCAACAGATGAGATTCACAGGTGGCTGTGGGGCACCATAGACCATCTCCCTGAAGCACCTGGGATGGGAGGCACACGAACCCCAGTGACCAAAGACAGGCACCTGTCCTCAGTAACTCACCCCCATTTGCACTCTGGGTACCACCTAAACTCCACATCCCCCGGCTGGCGATTCCCCAGGTGTGAGGGCACGCTAGTTTGCAGACAGGTGTAGAGCCAACGTCACGGAGGAACCTGGTAACTTTGGGGAGGAAAGCTGAACTAACAAAACCAGCCCTCGTTGGAACGTGGAGGTGATTCTGCGTGTGTACTAGGTCACACCCAACCAGGCTGCGGCTTCCTTTGAGTGCCGGTCCGGTCACCATGGCAACATGAAGCTGCTGAAGCACAGTCAGTCAAACTTCCTACTGAGTGTCTCAGTGTGATGTGAGCTCCTTCAAGACCACAGCCTCCGCCAGTTACAGAACAAGCCACCTGGGCTGATGGTTATGTAACCTCACACACACACACCTGCGTCCTGCTTCCTTTTCTCCTGCGGCAACGCAGGTTCTTTTAGGCTCAAAGGCAGAGGAGGGCGTGGCTCAGTTCCTGGCTGTAATTAACTCCAAAAGCATGTGTTCTTTCACCATGGAATGAACCTCTGTGCAATCGCCTAGGGGGGGGTCTCTGAGGAGACTGACACTGGATCCTGAGGCTGGTAATAAGTTGGGGTATGAGCTCTTCTGACCCCTGGAAAGCTCAGTCCCCTATGTGTGTGTGTGTGTGTGTGTGTGTGTGTGTGTGTGTGTGTGTGTGTGTGTCCATCTCTGTGTGTGTGTGTGTGTGTGTGTGTGTGTGTCTGTATGTGTATCCCTCTCTCTCAGTCTCTGTCTCTGTGTGTGTGTGTGTGTGTGTGTGTGTGTGTGTGTGTGTGTGTGTGTGTCATTGGCCTGGAACTTGAAGAATAAGCATGATGATGACTAATCCTGGTTGTCAATACATCTGGAATCAATGAAAACCCAAACTGCTGGGCTAGACCTCCAAAATCCTAGAAGGAATTTTCTCGGTCAGATTTCTTAAAGCAGGAAGACCCACTCTACACCTGGGCTTGACCTGCTTGCGGCAACTCAGCTGAAAGGCCACGGAGGAAGGAAACTTTGCTCTTTGCCTGCTCGCCCTCACTCTCACTGGCAGACGCCTCTGTCCTGTGGCTGTAGCTGGTGTGAAATCCAACTTCTACATTCCAACGTAGACTGAAGACCAGCAGCTCTCTAGAAACCCTCCATGACTCCAGCACCAGACTGGGACAGCTGAGACATCCAGCCTCGTGGCCTAAACAACTGCCAGATTCGCAGCCTTGAGTCAGGAGACAGCCATTGTTGGGCTGCCCAGACGGCATCCTGTGAGTCACTCTGATAAATCCTTTTAATGTAGATGTTCATCCTGTCATTTCTGTCCCTTCAGAGAACCCTGACTAACACAGAGGAGAACCTGGCTGACTAGTGAGTCCCACATAGCCTTCCAGCTCTGCCTCCCCAGTGCTGGGATTACAATCTCACACCACCATGCCTGGTTTTGTTTTTTTATTTATTTATTATTTATTTATTTATTTATTTATTTATTTATTTATTTATTTATTTATTTATTTTGCATGGGTTCTGGGGATGGAACTCAGGTTCCTTTGTTTGTAAGGCAAGAAATTTACCCGCTAAACCCTCTTCCAAGCCCACCTAGCATTTGAATGAGTCCTGTGTGTTCAAATGAGCCAGGACTGGATATTCAATGGAGCCAACCAAGACTGCATATTCAAAGAAGCGATCCAGTACTGCGCATTCAAATGAGCATCCTCTCGACCACAGGTTGGCCCCAAGCATGAGGCTGATTCTCACACTAATTTCTCACCCACATTTATACACAGACATGGATTTTTTTTAATCTCAGCTCAACTATTCCAGTACATTGTGTCTTATCTAGAAACCACAACATTTTCATAACAGCAGAATTTACATACAGATGGCAAATAAATAAAGCTCGCCTGTGGCTTGGTCTGTGGTCCTTATGGTCAGCGGGTTCTATTAGGGCTTTATGAACTTGCTCAGTGACGGAACGTCCTATCTGATCTTACAGATTGCTGCCACGCAAGCCAGCCCGACTCCAAAATGAAATTAATTCCTGACAGTTCTTCTGCAATGTGAAGGCACCAAAATTGAGTTTCTTCTGCATGCAATGCCAGAAATATTTCTCATTTCTCATTCAAACCACAAATGGCTCTCTCTCTCTCTCTCTCTCTCTCTCTCTCTCTCTCTCTCTCTCTCTCTCTCTCTC